GCATCAAGTAATTGAAAAGTGAACAACAAGAAATAATTGTATGTTAACTTTTTCTTTTTGAGAATAGTGAATGAATAGCTAAAACCTTCACACTTCAAATTTTTATGTACCCAGAGGGTGTCAGACATTGACGAAAAAAAAAACTTGAATTTAAGTCCATAAAAACGTGAACTCAGAACTTCTTAACAAGAACATACTCTACTTTTAATTAAAATTTTCATTAAAATTTTATCGAATTATAGATGATCGGATATTTTGTAAACAATAATTTTCAAACATTATCAATATGTCTATAAACATCATTCGAAATCTCTGAAATTAAAACTTATAGCTATGAAGAGGAGTCGGATTCATGGTGTATTAATGAAATTTTTACTATGAGCAAAGTATTTCCGAAAAAATATTTTCAAGCTGAAACTTTCAACGAACCGGTATATTTCTTTTTCGAGATATTCAATTTCCGAAAAAAAAACCAGTGATTCATCATAAAAGGTCCCAGTAATTGAATTCGGTTGATAATCGAATATATCATGTTCATTCTTATTGAAAGTTTTCAGAACTAGCAAACGTACATATAGGCAGAATTTCATTAAAATGATCGTAGTTCCTCCTTAGTAGACCATGAGTTTTAAGCTTTTCTGAACCTAATTGAGTGCTTCTCCTAGGCAATCATATAAAGTTGAACAGTTGAATGTGTTCTTTCATTAGACATTGAAGGACTTTTTTAATCAGATTCAAACGTAATACATAGCCTAATCCATCTAGTCGTATATGCAAAAGAACGAAATACAACATAATCGGATTAAATCAATGATAAGTAGGAAAATTTTCTCTTTGATATTTAAACATTTCTCGAATATTTATCTTAATACTCTTATTATAATGAGAAACACGACTTTTTTTCTTTTTCTTTTTTCTAAATTCATACCATTTAAAGCATCTAATTTAATTTTAAGTTGTTCATCAAGTTTTGCTTGCATAACATGCATAGCATTTCGTGCTTCTCGAAGTCTTTCATCTTTTGCTGCTTTAACACTTTCAACATTTCGTTCCTATTGAAAATAGAAATGAAATTTTATTGTTATTGTTTTATTTCTGTTCAGTACATTATCAATAATACATACTACATCTTGTATTAAACAAATAAGTTCAACATGACGTCGTTTTAATTGTCCAATATGTTCATTAACAGCTGATATATTTGCTTGATAAACATCATCGAGTGGAAGAAAATTATGGCCAGCATGCTAATCAATAAAACATAAGAAAATCTCACAGATAAAATAAGCATTTTTAATACTAACTGAACCATTGAATAAAGCACATTGATGACAAATACATTTTGAACATGATGAACAAAATACACTTAATTTTTCTCGATGTATATCACATCTAAATAGAATAATGTATTTATTATTTTTTTTTTGTAAAATAATTAATATAACTAACTTGTCTTTTTCTTCACGTTTTTGTTTACTCATTTCATTTACTTTTAAACTATCAAGTTGACTCGTTACTTCTTCAGCCCATCGACAATTAACAAGATCATGTAAACGAAGTGTTGCACGACAATGTGGACATTGTTGACGTTGGTCTGTCAGCCATCTCTATTCATTCATAGATAAATAGATTTATATGAATAAAACTTATTTTCAAATAAGAAGGCTTTTACTCGAATACATGGATAACAACATAATTTTGAACAATGTGGACAAAGACGAGCATCGCGTAATTTTTCCATACAAATGAAACAACGAAATACTTCAGCAAGTGACTAAAACACAATTCTTTAATATCAAATTAATTAAATAAAAATACATACTTCAACACTAGCTGTACCATTACTCGATGATGACATTTTTATCTTTAAATAAATTTAATAAAAATAGTAAATAAATAGAAAAGAATAGAAAAGAATGTTTGACAACAAACCTCAAAATCGTTCGGCTGCGGTATGAGGAAAAAAAGGAACACGTATTGATCGATCGATCAAACTAGTCACTCAAAAGTTTGTATCCACAGATTTCCACCAGTCCATTGGTGTCAAGGACAACAACATATATTCAATATCAATTAGATGTCGCTCGTAGACATTAAACTTCCGACCGAGTAAAAGACGTATAAACTTCAATAGTCGTTTGTTTGATGTTGTGACTACAAATAGAACTTGATACACCCATGATCACAAGTAGCAACCCAAGGTCGATGCTCCTTAAGGCAAATAACTTTTGAATAAAAACACTCTTCTTTCCTCGTGTTGGGAAGCATTCATATTTTATTGATGAATGTGATCGTACACTTGTGAGGAAAAACTTGGTTAGAGAAGAGCACTCACTGGAAAAAATTTCAAGACAAACAGTTGTTATGAATGATTCAAAAGTACTTGAAAAACTCAAGATCGGCTATTCAGAATTTACGTTGAAAGGTCTTTCTATTTGTGTACTCCAAAGAGTTCTATTACATTTGGTTTTTCAACGATGAGCAAAACCTCCAATGGCAATAAAAATTTCACTTTAAGAACAGCTTTAAATGGATGGTACAAAAATTATTGTGTTCATTCCCATTAGATAATTTTAATTTTTTTTTCTACCAAATTTCTTATTCACTTTTAAGAATTTTTAAAAGCGACGGTTTTTTGTTTTGTATGCCGTCTGTGTTTATCATGTATGCAGGTCAGGTATATAAGGGCTTTCATGTATTCATATCTGCAGTATGCTGTATGTCTTACAATCATTATTGCATATGTTTCCATCCAACAGCACTATTAAAAGTCTAAAATACTCGTACAAACTCGTCATTATTTTCACACCCCCTGTTTCACTAGTATTTTGTTTATCTTGGAACCATCTTTAGTACGTGAGCAGAATACATAGACAATCGACGAATCAGTAGCTTGGGACGTGTAGAGTAGAACAGAATTATGCAAACATGATGCTGCGGGACAAAAGGCTCGAAAAACTTGCTATTTGGTCATTCACCTTCCTTCTCCCTTAAAAAACTTGATCTTCAAATAAACGTCGTCATTATATTTTATTTGTTATCTTTGCAAAATGAATAATTTAACTTTGTAATAGAGAATCAATTCATACATAGGTTTCTTTCGCTCTGTAGTGACTATGAAGAAACAATGTGCGTGTACTTATTCAGGTGGTGATTTAGAGATGGTTTTGATATTTCAAGTAATTCACAAGAATATCTGTCGAATCAATCGAACTTCTAGCTCAAGATCTAAGATAATTGTGTCGTTTGTATAAAAAAGCTTTTTTCGTTAGTGCCTACTATTGGTTTTCACTTAATCCAATTTTTATTCTATTATGATAAATGTTGACATTGAAACAGAATTCTTGTGAATAAAAATCATTCATAGATGTTAACAAAACAAAGCCTTATTGAAAACAGTCCGAATTTTATTGAATATTGTACTACAGCAAATGTGCCTGCGTAATACGTTACAGAATATAAAACAATGATAAAGACACACCTTATGCGTAGTCGGATAGAAAATAGAACAAGACAGACATGGTTTTGTTTTCTTTATTTGTCTTGATAGTAAATAAAAACTAAAGAAAAGAAAAAACATTTCTATATTGTTGCCTTTTATCATCAACGACGAATATTTGACTTCGAGGAAGCATTATTTCGACAACGAGAACGATAGAGAAGTATAACTTAAAAATAAATGCCGATACATTGCTCATCATCAGTCCTATATTATTTTATCATCGTTTTAGTTTATAATTGATCTGATGATTGTCTTTAACTATTATTTCGAAAATTGTTAATTACTGTGAGAGTGTTGGTTTACAAAATAAACATTTCAAAAGTTTAAAACAAATGCAAAACACCAAACAGAACTTATTTTCACTTTTTATCCATGATTAATAATGTCTTAAAATCTTCTTTTACTTCTTTGTCTCCGTGCTCTTTTCACATGCTTTATAAATATTGAATAGTACGACGAAAGCCAGTAAACACGCTATTAACTAATTATGGGAACAAATTCTCTTCAACCAATATTGACTTAAATATAAAAATAGTAGTCTTAAGAAAAGGAACTCCAACGGACTTTGGATTTGCCCATGAATATGCACTTCTCAATACAGATTTCTTGAAAAATTACTTATTACTCAATAGTTCCTGACTACTACATCACTGAATTTTCTCGTCATGATAAATTTCGTGTATTTTATAAACATGAGTTCAATGTCATTAATTACAAAAATTTTCTAAAGGTAGAGGTAAGGAGAACAAGGTGTACGCGAACTTTCAGAAGGGAAGATTTTGATAGAAATGGGTCACCACATATATGGATGAGATAAACACGTAAAAAACTACTGAAAAAAACAACAAACGATATATTATAGTAAGTATGGAAAAGGACAACATGTGATATCATCATACATATTGAACAAATCCTCAATGATCATAATTAATTTAGATAAATAAAGTCTATTTTTACTCTTCAATATTTTTCATCTAAAAGCTGTTTAAAAAAACTACAGACTGTTTGCAAAAAACTATACATTATCATCAGCAAAGGAACATTTTTTTTTTTATTCATTTCATATGACAATTTTAAATTATTCATAGCAATGCTTTTTTTTTCTTATCTATACGTCATGTTAGTGTAAGAGTAGGGGGTGTGTCTTCAAGGTCGACGAGCATACTGTTACGAGAACTTTTTTTATTGAGTAATATTCGATTATTTATTTTGTTTTACTAACTACGCATCAAGAATAGAATCTGATGTAACGCAATTAGCAGCATCGACGCAATACCAATTTAAATGACACATTTACCAACATAGAAGAAAAAGATCCCACAAATGATCTAATTGTTAGCAATATAGGACAAAACTTGCTTGGATATTTCTTGTGAATACACTGTAAAAAAAAAAAGTATAAAAGCATAGCAGTCTCATAGTATATTCAATGTTAAACAAAGACAATTAAGTAAAAAAAATCTTATATCTAACTCCCAAGCAATTCAAATCTACAAGCATGCTTTCGATATTCAATGTTGGTAATGAATCTGAAAGTGGAAAATTGCTCATAACACTTATGCATCGCCCAGGTAATGAACTTCTTCGGCTTACAAAAAAAAATCTTGAGAAATTACTTTATGATGCCATTCCTAACATTGATCAAACACACAAATCACATGATATTTTTACAAATTATTTACGTGACCATGGCATAAAAGTACTTTATGTAAAGCCTCTTCTTCTTAATACACTTACTTATAGTATCAAAGCTTGTGATGCATTAATTGAAGGAATTATTGAAAACAGTTTATTCAATAAAGATCAAAATAATCAAGAACTATTAAACGCTCTTCGTCAATGGTTAATGCAACGTACACCTGAACAATTAGTTGAAGATGTTATAACTGGTGTGGCTTGTACAAAAGATGAATTAGGAAACTCACATTATGCTCAAGTTCTTTTGCAAATGTGTGATCAAAATACTGAATTTATTATTCCACCATTGCCTAATCTTTTATTTACACGTGATTCTTTTTCAATCATTGAAAAAAATGTATTTATTTGGCATATGGCTAAACCAGCTCGACAAAATGAACCACTAATTATGCGTATTATTTTTCAATATCATCCACAATTATCAACTTCTGGTTTGAATATTGTTGAATGGGAAACAAAAACTAATGATCATGAACATTCAACTATTGAGGGTGGTGATATAGCTTATATTGGTGACGGAGTTTTACTTATCGGTTGTGGTGAAAGAAGCAATCGAACTGGTATTGAAGCCCTAGCACGTACAGGTCTTTTCCGTCAAGTTATTGCTGTTTCTATACCAGCACAACGTGACTATATGCATCTTGATACTGTTCTTTCTACAGTTGGTAAACATGCATTTACTTTACATAGTTTATTAGCTAATCAAATGGAAGTATTTACAGTGCAAACTCATGACCCTAATAATAATATTCTTTCTAAACCGAAATGGATTTCACATGGATTTGATATTCGCCAAGTCCTTCGAAACCTACTCAATGATTCTGAATTAGTATTTTATGATGCAGAAGATGAAGAAACATCTATTATAGAACAAAGAGAATGTCGTCATAATGTATTAGCAGTTGATGATTGTCATATTGTTACTTATGACGGTGGTAATTCAGAAAAAAGCATTGTTGCTCAAATGATCAAAAACAATGCTTGTGAAGTGGGTTTAATTCCAACTGAAGGTTTATTAGAAGGTTGTGGTGGTATGCATTGTATGACGAACACAATTCGGCGGAGACGTTAATTATCGTACATTTTTGTTTGCTTTTGTTCTATTAATATCTCTAATTTTTTCTTTATTTTTTCTTTTCTTTCTTTCTTGTATAAAAACACTCCAAGTATCATTTTTTTCAAGAGGAAGTGTTATAAACATATTCTTGACTAAGAATTATTCACGAAACAAAAAAATTGTTTGAGATATCTACTTATCTGATCACTGCTTTTTTTGGGGGTGTGGTGAAAGGCAGAAAGTGAAATCCTACATTGATATATCTACGGAGAGAAATAAAGAGTTTATGTTTTATCTTTTACGAAAATTCAAAAAGGATGCGTATATATCTATATGGCGTAATTTGAGTCTTTTATAAATACTCTTAAAAAAGCAAAAGTGATCCATAGATCTATGTTTTTTTTAGAGAAAGAAGTTGACATATTGGTATATAATGAAAGATAGTTACTGAATATGAAGCATCGATGTTGAGAATCAGTGAGATATAATAATTAATAAACTATGAGCGAACAAATAAGATGTATGGTGAAACTACTTCTAAATGTACATAGAAAACTTCATCTTCAAATAAACGTCGTCATTATATTTTATTTATTAGCTTTACGAAATAAATAATTCAACTTCGTAATAGAGAATTAATTCATACATAGATTTCTTTCGCTCTGTAAGTATTTGTGTTGTACTCGTATAATTCGATCGAATTCATTGAAAATATTTAGAGTCACAATGTATGAGATCAATAATGATACTTTTTCTAAAGTTATACGAAAGCATACCAATGATAATGAACTAGTGTTTGATAATGATCAAGTTGAAGAAATAGCTAAAGAAGAACAATAAGAATGCTATCTTAATGTAGTAACGATGAAGGAACAATGTGCGATTACTTATGCATGTGGTGATTTAGAGAAGGTTTTGATAGTTCAAGTAACTCGTAAGAATATCTATTGAATCAGTGGAACTTCTAGCTCAAGGTCTAGAATAATTGTGTCATTTTTTATAAAAAGTTTTTTTCATTAGTAGCTATTTCGAGTGTCAACTCAATCTGATTTTTATTATGAATGGTTTTAATACTGAAGTGGATTCTTTTTGTGCATAATAAGAAGCTTCAATCGAAAAATTTTGGAATTGATTGTATATTGTATTTTAAGAAATATACCTGCGTAATATGTTACAAATTGGAAAAAAGAACACTTAATGCGTAGTTGAATATAAAATAAAGCAAGACGTGCTTATTTGTTTTCTATTTTTATCTACATAGTAAAGAACGAGCAAATTCAGCGAAAAACAATTACGATGTTCTTATCTTTTATCGTGTGTGGCAAATGATTGCTGTAGACCAACCATGTCGTAGGCAAAGCGTGTAATCAGGGAATATGACGTGCAAACAGGCACGTATTCAGGATCATCATGACAACAATATTATTTCGTAGTCTTCACATTTTTGTTTTGAAAAAATGTTCCTTACTGTAAAAATGTTGATTTCTAAAATTAAGATTTCAAAAGATTAAAAGAAATTCAAAATAGATGATACAATTTTATTTTATTGTTTATTCAGGACTCTTGATGTTTTTAAGTCGTATTTTATCTCCTTTCTTTTATTTCATGTTCTTCATGAATATTAAACTTTTCACCATGAAACCACTTGATGTTTAGTTTTTATTTAATTATACATTATATTATGATCTGCGCATGTAAATAATAATGGATAATAGATGTTACTTTTGAATTCTAATAGAGTTTGCATCAGAATAGCACTTGTATATGATGTGTATCGTGAATTGCGTAATTGAAGTTCGAATCTAAATGAAGATTCAAGTTGCTGACATTAAGTTTATAAATGAACATTTCAATTTTGTATTCGATCGTTGAACTTTTTTAAACAGTTTTTAATAGATTTGTGCATGGACAATTTACTAGTCCACATGTATTCGGCGTATTTAAAGTTGTTTACACACTCGAATAGGATATCGTTCAATAATACTGATAGGGAATATCGATTAATTTGTGCCTAAAACACTTGATAGACCAATTTAGAGATATTGATTTATTGTAAGAAACCTATCTTATGAGATGTTATGATTCGTGGCTTTTATGAATCATACAGGTCAATGCGGCGAGTTGGAACGACTACAGAATGAAGAAAAAGATGACTCTTCACGGGACTCGAACCACGTACTTTCTGCTATCCGGGCAGATGTCCTAAGCCAGTTAGACTAGAAGAAACATCTCATATTCGTCTTATGTACAGAGGGGAACACTCTGTACATAACATGAGACATAATCATACTTGAACTAGAGATGAGCAGAACAAAAATGTTCTGTGTCTACCCTATGTATCTTATTGCACGATGCTTGAGCTTTCAGAGGTTCGTCAATTTGACTCTGAATTATATATTGATAAAAAAATTTCTATCGACTACACTGATGAGTACAAGTCTTGATATGTGTGTTCTAATAATATTAGCTTCAGTTCTCATTTGCATCCTATATTAATGGTGTTTCGTCATAGCTTGCAAACGCCGTCCTACCTTCCTCATCAGCTAAATTCAGACCACTCTCGCTCTTATATAAAATAAATCTAATTTGATTCTGTATTCAGTTTTTTTCTACAACAATTACTTATCACTTGCTTTTCTCGGTTCTTGATAAAATTGCATCTCAACAAAAACTAAATCAAAGATTGTCTCAGTATGGACAATGCACCTACCATGAGATTATATTAGACAAAAATCACTTTCTCACTTACTTATGTAGTGATGATAAATGATTCCTTGGAGAAGAGTTGATCTGCTGAACAATAGCTTGGTGGCATTGGCTTCCATAAAGAATGAGTCTATTCAGTTCTATTTTCTAACTTTATTCAAATGCATATTCGAGCAAAACTATTGTAAATCTTGGCAAATATATTTTGTAAGTGAGTTCTCATTTCAAATCATACTTGATATCAATTTTTCTTGAATCAGTTGATTTCTCTATAATATGTTTGGAAGAAAAAAAAATTTAATACAGAAAATCTCATCCAGAATAGCAAAAGTCAATAAAAAAAAGGAAGAAACTGAATTTCTATTGATATTCAAGACATGATAACAATGAATTTTATATCTTATATAAATGTCTTAGATCTTAGTCAAACTGATCATTATAGTTCATATGAATAGATAATGAACAGAAAGGGGTCATATGAAGTGAGCCAAAGTTGGCGTGAGCCTAAGTGGAGTCCATTAGTCCATACTATACCCATTTCAAATATATGGTACTCTGATACCGGAAGTGCTATTCCTATAACAGAACAACAATACTCACAACCCGGAAGTACCATTCCCATAACAGAACAATAATACTCACAACCCGGAAGTGTCATTCCCATAACAGAACAATAATACTCACAACCCGGAAGTGCCATTCCCATAACAGAACAACAATACTCACAACCCGGAAGTACTATTCCCAAAACAGAACAATTGTGTTCTGTTTTGGGAATGACACTTCCGGGTTGTGAATACTATTGTTCTGTTTTGGGAAAATAGTTGGATGGCGGTGAAGTAAGAACTCGCATTTTGATTGGTCCATTTTCTCTATATGAAGTGAACCACGTTTCTTTGGTTAGCATGCTTGGCTCACTTCCTATGACCACAGAAAGGTTCCTTTTCACGTATGATCGAAAAATAGAGTCATGCGGAAGAAACTTGTTTGATTTATCGATGAATCCACATTTCGACAAGATTCATTCTGTCTTTTAATTTTCAAACAATGTCCGTAAATGATAAATTAATTTTTAAAAAACTCAATAAACTCATCCTTCTCACAGTGAGCAGAATGCACATCATCTGCACATTGACAAATGAATACACGAAGATTAAGCAATGCATTAACAAGATAAAGAACATTAGATCGACTTTCTATCCATATTGAAAACAAGCTCGTTGTATCTCAATTCAAAATTAAGTCGACGAATCAATTTATTAATTATCTCTACTTAAAACAATCGCAAAGCAAATTCATGATTGACTGGCAATGAATAGAGACACCATGTTCAATCCAATAACACGTGCAACTCGCTTATTGGAATTCCTTTGAGCATATAAGCAGACAGAGATATCAGTTGATTGAGATTAAGAAGGAGGAACACGTATTTTTCTATTATAGTGCCATCGTATATTTAAATATTTGATGTTAGGAAAATTAAAAGGATATGATGAACAAGTTAACAACAAGATGTGTTGCACAAGCAATGACACACACATAATTGTACGATGAATAATTTTGATCATCCGAACAAGTCGATTTTCATCGACTGTATGCACGAAAATCAGTAAAGTCATTGAAACTATATGGTAAGATGGGAAGTAGTATGTTCTCAGTTGGAACCCAATGCATGTGAATCATCGTTTCAAAATAGCATCGAACATACCAATAATCGTCTTTGAGTCAAAATAGACTCGAAATGTATCTAAAAATTTGTCGATTTCTTCAGCTACTTTATCTTTATAATAATATTTGAAAGCGAATGTCATTCAAAAATGAAACATTTTGATTTGTAATAAATAGTTGATGACGATTTGTTCCCAATCATTTTCATTCAAGTAAAAATCCGAGACATCGATTGCTAAATGATACAAAGTCAGCATATTGTGAAACAAAAATACCATTCCAACTTGTGAAGAAACCTTTATGTTAAGTTTTATTATCGATGGATATACGTCTATGAATGAAAATGAATAATTCTTCTCAGATGATGCTGTGAAAAAGAGGTGTTGCAGTCGAGGTGTGTATTTAAATAGATTTGGCAGGTGTTGAATATAATCAAGGACCAAACTAACAGAAACAAACTTAATTGTTGATGACTGGACTCTCAGATCCTTAAGTTTTCAAATGAATGAATCGATCAGATCTAGATCACAATGCGTTAATTTCGATAGATTTAATTAACGTGCATTGAGATATTTCAGATGAGTTAGATGCATTGGATAGAACGAATTCTCGAGCACAGCGTTATTTAAGACAGTGACAATATGGGATAAAGAAAGTGATCATACATTTGTGTTTTGTTATGAGTAATATGAAAAGACAGAAAATGATCAAATAGATTCGAAGTTTCTTCATCATCAGTCAAATGAAGTTGAACAATGTTATTCACAATTTGTAGCTAGTGATGTCGACATAATTGATCAAAATCATTTATAGACACATGTTGAAGATCCAAACAATAATTTCGAAAATGAAAATTGAGTAAGCATGTTCAACCAAGTATTGAAATCGCTAATGACACGAAGAAGATCAATGGTATCGAGCAGATCGAATAACGCAATCAAAAGTTTATTGAGCAACTTTTTTAAGAGCATCTTTTCTTTGTCAAGCAACAATACATTGATATTTTTTTACTTCTTTAGCTAGTAAAAATTGCAGTCGCAATCACGTATTTATTTTATGGTGTTCGTCAAACGCTATGACCATTGCCATGCTTTAGAAGAGTGTCATTCGTTTTCTTTTCTGTCACAATGGCAATGAACCAATAGAAAAAAAATCCTTTTTTTTTTCACTCTCCATACATACTTTTATCCGTAGTAATGAATGTTATGATTCTGAAAATGAAATTCAAGTAACGGTTTAGCTATATTTCTATGAACAACGAAGAAAAAGCAAGGTTTATGTGGAATGCAATTGAAGCTAATTGTTGCAAGAAACATAATACAAAAATTGTATTCATCCGAATTGTGGATAGAAACAAATTGTTCGATAAGATTAGTTTTGATTATGACTTACTTGAAGAGTGAGTATAAATGTGAATTAAAGTTTTCTAGTCACAGCTTCCCGTATCCAAAATTCTTTTCAGTTAAGTAATAGAAGAAAGAAGATCTAATCCAAAAACATGGGATTTAAAACTTGGGTAAGCTAGGGTGATGGTATGGCTTGTATTTGTCAAGGAATTTTACTTATTGGTTATGGTGAACGAATAAATCGAAGTAGTATTGAAGCGCTTGCACGTACAAGTCTTTTCGTCAAGTTATTGTTATTGTTGCACCACCACAACTTGATTATATGCATATTGATACTGTTCTTTCTACAGTTGGTAACAGCAGTGTCACATATCCAAGATTTTGGAGATGCCACCACGTCTCCCGCGGGAGATGCCGCATCTCGCGCGAGAGATGCGGGTGTGGGTGTGGGGGATGCGCATCTCTAAAGGAGATCTTTCTTCTCCAGTGGTGAATGACCACATCTCTCGAGTGTGGGTGTCGCGTCTCCCGCTGGAGACGCGGCATCTCCCACGGGAGATGTGGTGGCATCTCCAAAATCTTGGATATGTGACACTACTCATTGAAAATTACTACATATCAAATAAAAATATGTTTTGATATGATATAATATTTTTTTTCTTTCTAAATATTCTTTTTTTAACATGATAATTGTCCATAAGAAAGAATCATAAGTATCAATAAAGATCATCGTGCATTAGATAGCAATTGGAAATTAATGTTATATTTTATATCTAAAAACTGTCTGCGTGATATCTTACAGAATAGAACAAGAATGATATAGATACAGGTCAAGCGCAGTTAAATAGAAAATGAAACATATTTGTTTTGTAGCTGGCTATCTTGAAGAACAAAACAGAATGAAAAATTTGATGATATTGTTTTATTTACAGACTTTTGTTGTTTGTGGCAAATATTTGTTCTCAATCATCAACAATAATGATGAAATGAATTCATCGTAGTATGATACAGAAAATATGCATAATTTTGCAGTGAGATTCACAATGGAACATGAAAATTTAATACATAACATCTTCATCAATAAATATTTACTTAAAAGAAGAGAACAAAAATCTGCCATTAAAAAAAAAAAATTCCGTTATGTTTTATGATTCTTATCGATGTCATTTTTTTCCAGATACAATCAAATAGTATAAAGCAAGAGAATCTATTGTAGATTTCTAGAAATTCATTCGTGAAGCACTGCTTAGCTCGTATTTTTTATTTCATTTGATAAACAATTGATATTTATTTAATTTATCATTCTTTTCATCATTTAGATTGTTAAGAAATCGATATAATTTTATTTATAGTAGACATAGAAAATTATTTATGTATGCATCCAATCATTTAGTACGTTATTTAATTATTGAAAAAAACTCTTTCTTGAACAAAGTAAATGCATGAAAAATCAAAATATAATCACCATTTGGCATAATGATTTTCCGCAACTCCAAAACCATTTTCAATCACATATGTATGATCAAATACTTCCAAAGTTCCATTATAAATACCAAAAGCTTGAACAAAATCTCCAGTAACAAGAAACATATTAATATGTTCCTCTTGACTACCCCATGGTTGAAAAGTAAGACGTAGCTTAGGAGTGTTAGAATTAATATCTCCTGTAGAATAGATTTGCCATGATTGACTTGTTATATATTGTTTATCAGGTAATTCATAAACAATTCGATTAACTGTATGAACTTGTCCACCAATCCTGTATTATAGAATTGATTACAGTAATTCGATTTTTATGTTTTATTAAACTCACCAAACAGCATTTTCCATTGAAATACCATTATTATCATTATAAACGATATCAGAAAGATTTATACCAATGGTAACAGATTCATTATTTGATGAATTAATTCCTACTACCGAAAGAGAAACCCTAAAATATTTCAATCAAAATAAAAATATTCTTTTGTGATTAAGTAATTACCATTTCCAATGAGATCGTCTTTCTGAATATGCTAATGTCCAATCCATACTACTAAGTCCATCAAGTAACTCTTCTTCCTTATTATTATTTATCTTTATTTTTCCTCGAGCAGATAAACCAGCCATTTTATGTGTATAGGCTGGACGAGTTTCTTCAACGGGATAAACTAAAACCAATGATTGATCTTTTTCATTTGAATAGTCTGCTTTAAAATCAAATGATATTTGAACACCATCATTCATTGGTACATTTCCATTGACTTCATAGACTTTTTCTTTAGTATTATAACAAAGACGAATATATTCTAATGAAGATTGATTAAAATGAGTGCATCCATCAATAGATGATTTAGCTTGTTCTTTAATAGCTTGTGCTAAAAAAGATCTACTCGCATATTGATAAAATTGTTTTTCTCGATTTGTTCGATCAATTACATAGACAAGTGCATTAGCGACATAATTAAGATTAGCTATACCAGTCGCAATAAAATAACGTGAAGTTGAAATAGAGTTAAAACTCCAATGTTTAAGCGCAATAAAATTGAGTAATTTCGATGAAGAAACCCATGAATAATCAACAATTGAAACCGGCTTCGTATAACGCCCAAACTCATTTGTTTTCAATGGAAAACGATCTTGAATAGGACCAAGATATTTTGGCTTTGGTAAATTTATATATCGAGCATTTTCTATTATACCAAATAAAATTGCAAATAAAGGCACTAAAATGGTGATAATAGCAATAAAACGAAACATGTCTATTTACTGATGAAGACCTATATTATACTTTTATCTTTTTCAACAATATATTTTGATAAGCTGAAAACATTTTCCTTTTTCGTTCTTATCATGATGGTTTTTATTTTATTGAAAAAAAAAAACAAAAAAAAAATATATTGATGAACACAGTTAAATAATGCTTGAACATATTACTTTTTGTCCATTGCATTTGACCCATTCAGCATAGCAATCTCCACAGTAATTCGGGACACATTTAGCGTTAGGATATACTGGACATGTTGCTCCCTATTGAAAAGTCTTCTTAAAAAAAAGGACGGATCATTTGATTATCGTAACTTACTTGACATGGATCTGCAAAACATGGAACTGGAGGCTTATCGGGTGGACATGAAGATGTATTATCACAGTTTGCTGGCTTACCGTTCACCCCATACCAAACAGCATTGCATCCGCCACAATAGTTAGAGACGCATGTAGCATTTTTATCACCTGGACATGTGGATTTCTAGAATTAATAAAAAATATATTAAGAACTATTACGATATGAAAAACTCACAGAGCATGGGTCTGCCAAGCAATATACCATTGGTTGGTCAGGTGGACATTTAAGTTTTTCAACTGGTGTTCCAAGTATGCCTATAACAAATTGATAATTACATAAACATGTCTAATGAACTTCTCACCTCCGATTACTAAAGTTGAAAGAATAACAGCAGCAAAATATGCTATAGTTCCCATTATGTCTTTGTATTTGTTTGAAAATACAATAATTTACCCATTTTACACTTCATATTTATAGGTACTCATAAACAAAGTTCTTATTTTCGTTCGAAATAATGACTTTGACAATTATCATGAATATTTATTGCCATTCATACGTAGTCTACTTTGCCCATAATATACCATCAAATTTTGAAAAGCAAACGCTATATGTATCGAATACGAGACCAGATTTTTACCTTTCTTTCAATCATAAAAACATTTATCGTTTTCTAAAAGCATTCTTTTCAGCTTTCACAGTAATATTTGTATTTGTATGTATATGAAAATCATATTATACGTTTGCCTCTTTTATTTTTGAATGTTCTTCTCCTAGATCAGTTATTACTAAGCAGAATACAATTATGCACTTTGTTTTGAAATAGTTTGTTCACTAATATCAGTATCATGAAACACAATAAAAGGGTATAAGGCGAAAGTTTTAAGAAAAAGAAACACAAGACGAAAAAAAAATGGAATAGACACATAGGTCTGCACATAAATATATATATTAATAGATAGAGCATACAGGGTGAAAAATATTCTTAAGGAAATCAAAACTATTTTTGGTTAATGGTGTACCAATCTCAGTTTTTTGTGACGAAATTGCTACTTTTTGCAATGTAATCCAATCATATCGACTGGAATTCCTAAATGAATTGAAAAAAACACCGAACGCCTCGTATTCTTATTGATTATTCCGCTAATAATCGAATTTTAATCTAAAACCAATTATAAAGTATTTGGTAAAAATCAGTTAGATCGATATAGAAGTAAATTATTCGAACAAACATGAGGGATAATTGAGTGTGTCGAATATGCGTGAGTAAGGTACGGAATACCTTTACAAACAACCACATGAACTAGGATCGTACATCCGTCAACAGAAATTTCTCATATACGAGCAGATCTGAGTTCGTGCCGGGAAACAGTTCAAAGAGCTCTTAGAAGAATCGCGAGTCCTTAGATTTCAAGGCGTATGAGTCTATGAGTTTTCGATATACCTCTTATTCCAAGCGAGTGCTGGATGTCTCTTTCTTCTCTATTGTTTTCGTAAATTATATATTATTGAGAGTCAGTCCTCTAAGCGAGATAAATATGGACCATAAATAGTTCGAATAGTGTATTATCGATTTTTCTCTTATTTTCGCTATATTACTCCGATCACGAGAAAAACGCTGATCTTCAGTCTAATTAGGAGTAACAGATAACAATCGTCTAATAAAATGACTAAATATTAAGATTGATTACCAAGAAATAACAGATAGAAGCTGATTAACATATAATAAGAGATTGAAACTGCTTCACAGGTAGCATAGAATCGAAAAACAGGAGTAGTATGTAAAAAAAAGACGGAAAAAATTTGATTTTAATCGATTTTTTTGGGTCTTTTTTTATAAAAGAAAGGGCTCTATTTGTTTTTTTCTTTGATCTTATCGTTCACAAAACAGGACACGATCAAAAAATCAATGAAAATTGTGCAGAAGTCAAGTATTCAAGGATTTGCATAATGACTATTGTGCAACAAGGTTCAAATTATAATTGATAACTATGAGATTTATTAATCAATTCAAATTCTTCTCATAGACTGGAATCGATTATAATCAAAATAAGAATCTGTGTCCATCGATTATTAGAATTTTCTAAACAATTAATGTTGATTATAACTTTTACTATAATCTATTTGAAATATTGATTTTGCGTTACAGAATCCCAATTATCAATTTCGATTAGTTTCATAAGATTTTGAAATTTTAATCGATTATAATCCTTACAATTTTAGTGAGTAGAAGAACTCGTTATTTTTGTTTATTTTTCAGTAATTGTTTAATTACTTCAAGAGAACAGACAATAGTAAAATGGAAACACATGTCTATTGCTGCAATGTAATATGCTACGTCACGGATGGAATGTAAGATTATCTATTTCCAAAAAGGACTTAAGAGAAAATGTTATTTCACATGTACAGAATTGAAGTAGCGTTATTGAGCTTGGGTAGTAGCTGCTGCTAAAACTCGTTGCTTTTGAACTTCTTGGGTAACTTTAAATGAACGGTGAAGTATCAATACATGTAATTTTAAAAACACATCAAACATATTAAAAGCTAGTGGAAATTCTCTCTTCATACGTTTGATATACATGGACCTCAAGATGTGTCCATATCCCATGCGTTTCTTTAGCTAGGCAAGCACTTGAATGCTTGCATCAGTTATATGCTCATTCAAAGCAGCTCATACGCTAAATTCATGACAACCATACGAATAAATACGCTTGAAACAATTGAGTAGAATAAAACAATAAAAGATTTTCTTCTCAGCATAGAAGAATGCTGCGTCTCATTGAGGATGTGTCTAAATCTAGTTACTTACATAAATTTTCAATAAATAACACTGTCTGTTACATACTTTGTTACTTAAACTAGAGTTTTTACCATGAACCGAACCATTTTGAATGTACAATTGAAGAAAAATAACGAAAAAGACGTATAAAATATAATAAATATTAGTTTCTCACGATACATATGGTTTTTATAGTTGTAACAGGTGACCATATTCAACGGAGTATTTCTGTACTGACTTATTATGGGGCTGAACTTTTATTGTTACTCTGTGCAGCTGGTAATGTTTTACATAAAGTATCTCGTTTGTGATCATTCGTACACGGGTTTCAACAAAAAAAAGAAACCATTGAACAAAAATTCAAGTGCCTGAATAAGAATGTTAAGCAATGGAGCAAAAACTTCTAGAATCTAAACTTCCTAAAAAGCCCTAAGTCTTGCCTCAGAATGTGTACTTATCACATGAATTTCTTGCTCAAGATACTCAACAAATTCATGAGCATGAAAAAACTTCGACCAGGAAAACATTCGCTGCCTGAGAACGGATTTTTTAGTATCCATCTCCATAATAATATCCAAGTTTAGTATACTATTTCGACAGCAATACTGATTGAAGTTACTTTGGACCTAATAACGATGGTGGTGGTACTTTTCACTGTTAACAAATTTCTACTATACTATTCAAAACTCAACATAACAATTGACTGAAACAAACACAACAGAACAAAATTTAATTTCTCTTTCTTAGTTCCTTCATGTATTTAGAAGGTTAAATGTTGTCAATGATAGATGTTATTTTTTGAAGAAAAAGAGTGACATTAGATATTTTATCAACATGCTAGGACCTGCTGACTGCATCGTTCGAAGAATATTTTTCTTATCAACGATCCACTAACGATGTATTTGGACGAATATGAATGAAAACTAAAAATTGTTGGCCACATTGCCAAAAAAAAAGATTTCGTTTTAGAGTTTTAATGAAAGACTGCTCTTGTAACTTATAAATCGTGAAAGAGACTGCTAGGCTTCGTCTCTTCTAACGTGTAGAGTTTTAGATTATGTTTAAAAAAAAACAACTTTCTAAAAAGAGCCTACTTATTCAAATATACTACTTCCGTTGTACTATATTACAGTTCATTAAATAGATAGATCAATATAAAAAGACAAAGCACACATTTCATCAACAAAAGAAAAAAAACATAACCTATTAGAAAGTTTTCCTTTTTTGAATACATCGTATTTTAATGAGTAGATAATAGTTAAGCAAAAAAATTAAAGTTCAATATCAATGGTATTCGTTAATCTCATATAACTGCCGCGTAAAATATGTATCTGCTCACGTATCATAATCTTGAGGTATTTCAATACTATATTTATATTCAAGTGATGCATTCAATTCATTACCTATGTAAGAATGCTCTTTCAAACATGCTAACCTTGAAAATTTCATTGAAGATTGTGTAAAAAACTATTTACAGCAAGTGTCTCAACGTTCTGACATGTTTGACATTCTCTTATCCAAACATCCAGTATTGATGATTCCTTAGTTAGATAAATAAAATTAGCAACGACCGAAGCAATAACATTGAATAGCTTCGATGAAGAAATTCATGAATACTAAACCATTGAATCTGGTTTTGTATAAAGATCAAATTCATTTGTTTTCAATAGAAAACAGTCTTAAATTGTACCAAAATATTTTGCCTTTGGTACCTCTTTTTCGACTGTACGTTTTGATAAACGAAAAATGTCTTTATATTTCTGTCTTATCATGATGTTTTTTTTTGTTAAAAAAAAATCATTATAAAAAATATATATATTGATGAAAATGGTTAACTTGTGGTTCTACATTGTACTTTTCGTCCATCGCATGTGAACCATTCAGCATAGCAGCCTCCACAATAATTTGGAACACATTCAGCGTCAGGATATTCTGGACATGTTGCTCCCTTTTGAAAAATGTTCATGAAAAGGAAAGTATATAAATTGGTCATTGTATCTTACTTGACATGGATCTTTTTTACATCGAACTTTAGACCGACCGTGTGGACAAGTAGATTTTCGAAAACATTTTGCTGGTCTACCATTAGCTCTGTACCACACAGCATTGCATCCACCGCAATAGTTAGAGACGCACTTAGCATTTTTATCACCTGGACATTTTGATACCTAGAATTGATTAAGTATATTAAAAACTATTAAGATATAATGAACTCACCAAGCATGGATCTACGAAACAATTCACAATTCGTTTACCCGATGGACATCGAATCCTTTCAACTGATGTTCCAAGTACACCTATAACAAAATGATACTAAAATAAACATTTCAAACGACTTATTTACTACCGCTCAGTAGCATTGAAAGAATAATAACGGCAAGATATACTACAGCTTGCATTATGTATTGGTGATTACTTGAGAATAGAATAATTTATTTTTATTCACACGTGTTATTTATCGGTTATTGTAAACAAGTTTTTTTTTTCGTTTGCAAAAACGAATCTAAAAATTGTCACTACCTATTTATTGTCATTCAGGTGTAGTCTATGTTGTCGCTGACGGAGAATAAAACTTTAAAAGTGAATATTATATGTATCCAATAGGAAATCAGATTTTACTCATCAACCATAAAAATATTTTCCTTTATCTAAACGTATTCTTCCTAGCTTTCAGAATAATATTTTAATGTGTATGCATATGAAAATCATATTATACGTTTGCCTATTTTGTTTTGGATGTTTTTTCCTACTTCAATGATTAATAATCAGATCACGATTACACATCTTGTGTTTTTTTTTTAGTTGTTTGTTCACAGATATAATTGTCACAACGCACAAAGAAAGATATACGACAAAATTTATAATTAAGAACAATAACCATCACAAGAAAAAAAAAGAAAATACGTTACATCTGTTCTGTCACACACACAGATTGAGAATAGACACGTAGATGTGCACGTAAATATAAGTATGAATAGATAGACAATACCGAGTGAAAAATATTCTTCAGAAAGTCAAGATTATTTTTCATTACCGATGCAGAAACCTAATTTTTTGTGAGAAATCGCTATTTTTTTCATTATAATCGAACTAACCCTTTAAGTCCAAGATTATTTCTATTGGAGTACATTCAAGTACACTATGAGATTAGCTTATTTTAGACACAAACATATGACATCCTTTATAGATGGATGAAGAGAATTCTAGGACATTCTAGATTGCTTGATTCCAAGAGATTGTGTACTAGTTTTTATTAACTATGTTGTGAAAAATCATTATAAAACATATGCAGCTTTTTTGTCACAATGGGGCTCAAAAGGTTCACCTATGCAGTTCGTAATGTTTTACTTAAAATATTTCGTTAATGGTCATCTTCATATGCGCTTGGACAAGAATTTGAGCATATCAATAAGAACGTTAAGTGATGGAACAAAAAAATTCAAGCATCTGAGATTCATGCCTATCACAGAACGTTCTTGCTCAAGATCATCAAGAACTTCATGAGCATGAAAAAGAAGTCCGACTAGAAGAACCTTTAACACATTAGAAGCTTTTCGCTTAAATACATGAAACAAGAGCATTGTGTGCGAATAGACTTTTTTGTATCTATGTTTATGATAATATCCAAGTTCAGTATAGACAATATTTCGCTTGCCTCGTTATAGAGAAGTGTCGTTACTGAGTTACAAATATCTGCAAAAAACAATTCATAGGAAACAATAGTCTATCGAGAAATTCTTTCTTTAATGAAAACATATTGTAGAATCATTTCAATATTTTTTGCAGTATTATCTGAAAAAAAATTCTTAAAACTCTCTATACAAAAAATACGTTACTATGGTCATAGGTCCCACTAGACGTACTACGTGTTCACATAAATTACACAAGAAATGGCCTTTTTAAAATAGGAATATATTCAATAAAATCCTGTTGTGCCTTAATTAAAAAGCCTCTTTTTTTTGGAAATTCAGAAACGTTTTCCTTTATCACAAAACAATACATTATTATTTAACGAACACATTTCTTCAGCTACACAGATTAAAGTTTGCTCTATAAAGTATTCCTTCTGAGTCTGAGAACATATTTCTTTTATACTATTCAAAACTCAACATCAGCAACTAACTGAAACAATCTTGAATGAACACAATTAAATTTCTTCTTTTTTTTTTATAGTTCTTTAGCTATTGAAAGGTTAACAACAATTTTCTTGTCAACGATTGCCAAACGATAAGACCGAATACAAGATTATGAGTCTGCTAATTGGTCGAGGATTTTATATCGTGTTGAAAAAACATTTCTTCTCAGAAAGAACCTACTTATTCAAATATACTACTTCCATTTTGTACAATCATAGCTCCTTAAATAACTAAAGAAATGTAAAAAAGACAAAACACACATTTCATTAACTACAAAATAAAATATAACCTATTACAAAGTTTTCGTTCTCTGATACATCGAATTATAGTGAGTAGAAAATAGTGAAAACAAAAAAGCGAAGTTCAACACCAATGGCAGTCGATAAACTCTCATAATGGCTATATGAAAATAAGTATCGGCTCATGTATCATATTCTTCAAGTATCTCCATACTTTATTTATATTTAACTGGTTGTTTTAATTCATCTTGTGTTTAAAAAAGCTGTTTAAAACATAATAACCTTGAAGATTTCGTCGAAATTTATGTACAAAAAAATTTTTATAGAACGTATCTCGATGTTCGGAAATTTATGACATTTTCTTATCTAAACATCCCATATTGATGAGTCATTAGCAATAGAATTAAAACTAAAAATAGCATCAGTAATCAAATAACGTGACGTTAAAAAAGATTCAAAACCTCAATGTTTAAGTGCAATAATATTGAATAATGTTGATAAAGAAATCCATGAATAATCAACAATTGAAATTGGTTTCGTATAATGAATAGATTCATTTATTTCTAATGGAAAATGCTCTTGTAGTGGGTCAAGATATTTTGATTCAGGTGAATTTATATGTTGAGCATTTTCTACTATACTAAATGAAATTGTAAATGAAGGTTGTAAAGATGTGACCATGGTAAAAAATATGACATACTTGTTTGCTGATGAAGTCTTTTTTATAACTACTTTTATCTTTTCAACTATCTGATTTGATAAACGGAAAATATTTTTATGTTTCTATCTGATTATGATGTTTTTTTCCTTGAGAAAAGTTATTATAAAAAAATGAATATATTGATGAAAATAGTTAACTTGTGGTACTACATTGTACTTGTTCTCCACTAAATTTGAACCATTCAGCATAGCAGCCTCCACAATAGTTTGGAACACATTTAGCATCAGGATATGTTGAACATGTTGCTTCCTATTGAAAAGTGTTCATTAATAGGAAAGCATACAACTTAGTCATTGTAACTTACTTCGCATGGATTTCTAGGACATTGAGGTCCAACTCGACCAGGTGGACAATCAGATTTTCCATAGCATTGTGCTCGTTTACCATCAGTTCCAAACCACACAGCATCGCATTCACCGCAATTGTTGGTGATGCATACAGCGCTTTCATCTCCTGGACATATTGATGTCTACATTTAATGAAATATATATTTGAAACCTATTATGATATATAGAACTCACAGAACATGGATCTGGATCGCAATTTACCATTGGTTGACCAGGTGGACATTCAAACGTTATGACCGGCATTCCAGATACACCTATAACAAAATGATATTATAATAAACTGTGCTAATAGATTACTAACTTCCGATTACTAATGTTGAAAAAATAGCAGGGATAATATATCCTATAATATGCATTACTTTTTTTTCGTATTTATTTGAAAATACAATAATTTATTGTTTTTAATACTCCATATTTATAAGTATCCATAAATTATATATTTTTCTTTCGAAAAAATCGCTTTGACGAACAACATCATCCAATAAGAAATTAACTTACACTTATCAATTATGAAAATATTTACCTTTTTGTAAAAAATCATTTCTATCTTTCTTAATCGTATTTTTTCATTTATGCACATGAAAAAGAACGTAATTGCTTGTCTCTGTCATTTGGCTTTTTCTTTCTCTAGTTTAATCATCACTAATAACAACACAATCACGCAGTTGACTTTTTACTACTTTGTACATTAATATATTATCATGATGCGCAAAGAAAAGAATGTATGACGAGTTTGTCAAGAACATAACAAGAAATAGAATAGTTTACATCGAATCTATATACACGCACATTCAGAATAGACACATAGATCTGCACATAAATACAAATATAAATAAATAGGCAACATAAAAACCTTCTTTATTTTGACATTTTTTTAAAGCAACTGTTTGGTTGTTTCTAGAAGATAGACACGAGTAAAATATACACATATGCCCACTGCAACAGTGTACGTCAAATGTTATGTGATGGATAAAACGAGAGATTATCTATTTAAAAAAAGAAAAGACAGAATGCTTTTTCATATCTGAAACATTGAACAGTTGTCGTTGAAATTGTTGACTAACTTTAAATGAACAACGAAATAACAAAACATGGAGCTCTAAAAATATGTGACACAAATTAAATTCATTGAAACATTAAAAGACTTCGCTTGAATAAATGAAAAAGAAGATATTTAAGAAGACCCTCTCTGAGAACTTTTTTCCAGCATGTAGTATGTCCATTATAATATCTAAGTTCAGTATAGATAATATTTTGCTGTGATCTTTATAATGATATATGCGCTCCGTAGTGGCAGAATTCAGAAATTTTTGTTACTTGATTCTATGACCTTAATACGTTTGTGTTCTTCATCCTTTATCGTTATTTCTGGTACCAAATAAAAATTGTATTTAGATTCTAATTTTTCCAGCACAGTGATGTCAAGAGTTTGAATTTCAAGTAGAATTATTGTGCATTAAACACACTTATCCCTAGAGAATTACATTTAAGATAAAATAGCAACATTCACAAGTTTTTTAAAGATTGAAATTAATAAATCTAACATATTCGATTCCTTCAATCTTCAGTCCATCTAATATTTCATGAAGTTGTTTTGAATATGTATTATCAAAATCTGGTTAAAATTTTCTTTTTTCATGTAAGAAGCAAATCTGTGTACTTTATGTAATTTATTAGCAAATTTTTATTATAAAGTTGATATATTTTATACTTAAGAATTTATTAAAATCAGCTTCACCTATTTCTTATTCATGGCAATGGATTGGAAGATAACAAACAGGCATTTATTGGATTTTATAAATTTAAGCATACTAATGCTCGCCATGAAGAACAACAAAATCACGTGAATAATCTTTGTGTTCCTCATGTATAAAAGCATTAGTAATTTCAGTTACTTATCTGTTCTACCATTCAGGATAACCGTGCTTTATTTGGAAAATTTGTCGATGCTTAGCAGATCAGCATAATCTGTCACTATTGTTGTTACTTAATATTCATTTTATAATAATTATCGTTATACATGATGAAATACCACTTTGCTGTAGAATCGAAATTCTATTGAGAAAAAAATTCTTAATAGAATTTTGATCAAGTTGAAATGATAAGCGTACATGATGAGACACAGTTTTGTTGGACTAAAAAGAATTCGTAATAGACATATTATTGTTTTGGTTAATATGAATAGGATGTGGATGTAACTGGTGATAAATGTATTTACAAAAGAAAAATATAAAATCGTGCTTGTGAGAATTCTTCATAGACTCAAAATGTCCAGATTCTATCTTCTATAAGATAATGAGGTCACAATAGTGAAAAATTGCTATTTAGTTTTCGCCTTTGTTTCTCCAAGACAATATGTTCGATTGAGTTGAAAACTGTTTTACTGGTACTGAACACTTTTTAGAGTGGGTATTTTTTTTTTGTTTCTTTTCATATTTTGTTCTTCGAATAAAAAAACAAAATATCGAAGGTATTCTAAAAAATACAATTTTTTTGAAATAGAATAAGTATCCATTTCATACAGTGACTAACATATGTGAAAAATGTTTTAGCTAGATCAGAAATACCACACCAGAGGAAAAAGGGTATTTCTGCATCGTTTTTTTATGAAAAAATTGTTTTAAGAAAAAATACACAATAATGCAGTTTCGCGAATTCTCTTGTCTAAATTTAATTTCTTTTTGACTTTTTTAACGTTTAAAGTCAATGATTTAATTCAAAAATGTACTCAGTAGATAGATACCATTTGAAACTATACAATGACCACAAAAAAATCATTAATGAAGAAAGAAGAACACAATTTTGAGTTAGAAAAGCGAGTGCTCTCTTAAACTTTCTCTGTCAAGACAAAAATATGGAATAAGTTTGATCAGAAAAGATTAATTAAAGTTTTTTTTAATTCTTTATCCATTGAAAAGGTTAAATGTTGTCAGAGATAGATCCTATTCTTTAGAAAAGAGAGTAGTGTTAGACATTGTGTCAAGATATTCGAATATGTTGACTATATGGTCTAAATAACACTTTTCTTATCAATAATTGTCTCAGTTCTTTTCACATAATATTATCTGTCTCTTTCTCATTCCATGTACGTAAAATAAATGAAATAGACTCGTTTCGTGATCATTCCTTGATCAAAATTGAATTGAAACTAAGTGTTGTTGACAAGACTACCAAAACAGATGACTTTCTTTTATACACTTAATGGAAGGCTTATCTTGTGACTTATGAACTGTAAGACAAAATACAAGACTTCATTTCTTCTAATGTGTCGGAAGCTTTAGATGATATCTCAAAAACAAAAAATAGTTTTCTGGATAGAGTTTACTTATTCATATATATTATTTCCTCTTTGTGAAATACTAGTTTCTTACATAAATAAATAACATTGTGTTCTAATAAATGAAAAATGGTAAAAGCAAAAAATTGAAATTAAATAACAATGACACTCGATAAACTCTCATAACTGCTGCATAAAAAAGTATTTGCTCATGTATCATAATCTTCAATATATTTCAACACCGTATTTATATTCAACTGGTTGATTCAGCTCATCTGTTATTTAAAAATGCTCTTTCAAACATGCTGACTTGAAACATTCCGTCGAAATTTGTGTGAAAAAAATATTTACAGTAAGTATCTGGACCCTCATTAATTACTGATATCCTTCGATCTCTCTGTCCAAATTTGTTTAGTTTTGGCGAACTGCTCCATTCCTTCATTTACTTGGATCTGTTGTATTGATGGTTACTTAGTTCAATAATTGAAAGTAGCAATAGCAGCTGCAATAAAATAAGGTAGAGCTGAAACAGCTTGAAAGTTTTCAATAAAACTGAATTATTTAGATGAAGAAACATATATATATTCAACAATTGAAATCGGTTTCATATGACGACCGAATTCAATTGTTTTCCATGGAAAATGATCTTTAATTTAGCCAAGATATTTAGGTTTAGCTGAATTTGTATGCCGAGCGTTTTATTTTTATAAACTGATAATGTTTAAATTTTTGTTTTGGTTTTTATCATGTTGTATTTTTATTGATAAAAATGAAAACAAAAAGAATGTATATAGTAATAAAAATAGTTAACTATGTAATTTAACATTGTACTTGTTCTCCATTAGCTGTGAACCATTCAGTATTGCAACCTCCACAATAGTTGGCGACACATATAGCGTTAGGATATGCTGAACATGTTGCTACCTATTGAAAAATCTTCTTGAGAAAAACAGGGCTGATCAGTTAATTGCGGTAACTTACTTGACATGGATCTGCAAAACATTGAACTGGAGGCTTATCGGGTGGACATGAAGATGTATTATTACAATTTGCTAGATTACCATCAGCTCCATACCACAGAGCATTGCATCCGCCACAATAGTTAGACACGCATGTAGCATTTTTATCTCCTGGACATGTTGATACCTAGAATAAAGAAAATATATTCAAAACTGTTAGAATATGAAGGTCTTACAGAGCATGGATCCACAAAGCAATCTGCTATTAGTTCACCACCAGGACATCGAATTCTTCGAGCTGATATTTGAAGTATATCTATTATAAAATAGTATCAACATAAACACTTGTAACAAAATACTCACCTCCAATTAATAATGCTGAAAAAATAGCAGCAGCAAGATATACTGTAGCTTGCATTATGTCTTTATATTTGCTTTAGAATAGAATAATTTATCATTTTTACAATTCGTATTTATAGATTCTCATAAAAGCAAGCTTTTTCATTCTTCTTCGCAAAAATTACTGTGATAATTGTCATGCGTATTTAACGCCATTTGGTGCATAATCTATATTGGTTATGATGCGGGAGAAAATTTTGAAGAGCGAATATCACACGTATCGAATGCGAAACCAAGCTTTTACCTTTCCTTTAATCATAAAAAATCACACCTTTTTCTAAAAATATTCTCATATAAGTTTGATAATAATGCTTGTATTTTTATTCATTCAAATAAAATATTATATGTGTGCCTCTTTCGTTTTGGTTTTTTTCTTTTGCTCCATCATTACGCATGAGGAGTCAATTGCGCACTTTGATTTTTTACTAGTATGTTCATTAACATCATTATTATGACGCAGGAAAGAAATATGTATGACGATATTTTTAAAAACACAACACGAAAAAAAACTTCACATTAGTTCTAATTACATACACATATTGATAATAGAAAGAACTTATCAGTTCTGTGTATTTTTTCAAGTAATTGTTTGACGATTTCAAGAGAACTGAAAAGAGTAAAATGTACACATGCTCAATGCAAGAGTATATGCAGTATGTTATGTCATGGATAGAACAAAGAACTATCTATTTCAAAAAAAGGAAAGAGAGAATGCTATTTCATATCTAGAGCATTGAACCGTTGTTGCTGTTGAACTTGTTGACTGGTCTTGAGTGATTGGTGATAAATTAAAATGTTAGGTTATACAAATACATCAAATAAACTAAATTATTTGATATATTATAGGACTCCCTTGGGTAAATGAAACAGAAAACACTTTAGAAGACCTTCTCTGACAATCGGTTCTTTTTCAGTATGTAATATAAGACCAGTCAACATTTTTCATTATGGGATGTATCATAAAAACAAAATTAAAATCGAAAGAAGAAAGGGGTAAATCGTATAAGAACCCTTTTTTTTATGTCTGTTTAATTTTTCTGACAGTCAATCAAATTAATATTATTCTTTTTGTAATTTTACACGAAAAGATAGAGTAAAACCACTTTTCTTTCAATACCAATACTTGAACATATACTTGAGAAGCCATAGAAATTTTCAAAGCTATCTCTAGTTGGATTTCCTGACGTGATCCGAATTGCTCTTAGTGGAGTAGCTCGGATTGCTTCTATAGGACTTCCGGAGTTTTCGTAAAAACTCACTCAAAATATTGATACTTTTGAAAGATTTTTATATGATTCAGCAGGAAACACTTGGGGCTATCTGTGAATTAAAATAACCTTTTTTCTAACGCAAAATGACTAAAAAAATGATAAAAATACATTGATTTTCATTTCAAGTGATCTGAATAACTTCGACTGACTATGTAATTTATTGCAAAGTTTTCTTCTTTACGGTCTCGCTCGTCTTTGAGAACAAGACCTTTATTCTATAATGATATGCTATTGGGCTGAAATTTTATGCATATGAAAGCATTACTCAGTTATGTGCACAAAACAATTGTTGAGCTTCTTATCTCATTATCTGTTGTAATTATAACAAGTTTGGTCCATACAAAGTACCTATTTTAAGAGTTTTCTCGGCTCTCCAATGGCATTTGAGTACCACGACTGTAAAAGTCTATTCGTTTTTTATTTTACAGAAGATACTTGGAACTAGTGACTCTTGCAGCCAATTTTTAAGACTTACTTCCTTTTTTTAGTCTTGATACATAGATAAAGCCTCCAAATTTTAAAAAAAACTGCAAAGTTTTATGAAAATAACTCAGTTTGAATAGATAAAGAGCGCTTTACCTTTATCAAAAGTATCAATTGAAAGAAAGTCACGGATCTTACCAATTGTAAATGTCAGTATTCAAACAAAAATATATATTTGACATCATCTCCTACTATAAAAAAATTCTGCAAAGTAATAGAATATAAACTGATATTAACACAGGCATATAATGTTATAGTTAATAGTACCTGTGGAACTTGCAATCATATTTTTCGAAACTATATTTCGTGTGAAGATTGTTTTTGAAAATTAATTTAGTCCAATCACATTTGTAAACATTGTAAGAATTCTGAGCAGAACTGTTATTTAAAATTTCCTATGACATCTTAAGATATTTATACTTTTCTAATAACAAGAGCGTAAAGGCTCCAACTCTAGCATATGACAGATAGAGGCACCTAGTACATACTATCAACATGGGCTTTTTTCTTAATGAAAAAATGTAGGAAAATGGCACTGATTACACGAGTCCAAACTTATCGAACATCTGACGTAGATAGAGCAATCGGTTGAGTTTTCGAATGACGACTAAGACAGAAAGGAGTGAAGTGACGTGGAGTTGGAGCTGGACGTAGTTGAGTTGTCCATCTCTGTTTCACACATCTTTTGTCGAAGCTTCCAAGATTAGCTTGTTTTAAAGAGCATTTTTAAATACGAAACGAACTGAATGAACCAATTGAATATGAATTGATCTGTTGAAATCATTCAAGATTTTGCAACATGAGCAGATAGTTGTTTGATGAAGCAGGTATATGAAGTTTTTGAGTACCATGAGTATTGAACTTTATTTTTTTATTTTTACTATTTACTACTCATTGAAAAATAATGTATCTAGAAAAGAAAAACTTTGTAATAGGTTAAGTTTTTATTTGTTTGTTTGTGAAATGCGTGGGTACCATTTTGGTAGTCATTTATTTATTTATTTAATAAACTACTACTTAATAAAAAAAGGAGTGGTATATTCAAATTAACAGGTTATTTCTAATAAAATGATTTTCTATTTGAAACACGATTCAAATCTTTGGATACATTAGAAGATCTAGCGTCTTCTATTCTGTCTTATCGTTAAGAATAAATAAGGGGATCTTCTGTTAACTGTTTCGAAAAAGTTATACTTTTTGGTAGTCTCACCAGTAAATCTTCATTTCAATCAATGTTTCAAAGCCTACCCTAGTCGAATATGTTTTTCATACACATGAAATTCTTGAGCGTCTTAAGAAAGAAAGTTATTTGATGTGAACACATTTTTAGACAAGACATAAGGTCTTTTGGCAAGCTTTGGTACTTGTACTTCTTGGTCCATCACCTAAAGTTCTTATACATGCGCTTGAATACCTGTTTATGGGTTCACCTTTCTTGTTCAAGCACATAAAAATGATCATAAACTAGCAATAGTAACAATCTATCGTCTTTTTCTTCAGTTTAACATTCAAAAACATTCAGATCATAATAAAAATTCAGAATTTAGACAACAAAGTCCGTACCAGACATTGTTATTTATGAAAAATTTATATAAGTGATTGGATTCAAATATCTTTAATGACAAGAAGCAGTGTTCCATTTTAAGCAGAACAGCGTTTATGATTTAAATGCAGTCGATTCTTTCATATGTCGTCATTCGTACGACTTTCATGAATTTAGCATAGGGGTTGCTTTCAATGTGCATATGATTCATGCAAGCATTCAACTGGTTGTCTATGGAAAGAAGATCATGTGATATGGACATATCTTGAAGCTTGTAAATATTAAGCTTACGAAAAACAAACTCGACAATCGTTTAATTTGTTTGAAGTATTTCTGAAAATGCGTATTTTGATTCTTTACTACTCACTTAAAGTTATTTAACAAGTTCAACAGCAGCTATCTACAGTAGCAGCTTCTACCAAAGCTTAACAACAACAGTTCAACGTTGTACGTACGAAATCACTTTTTCTCTGTTTTTTTTTTTGAAATAAATAATCTCTGATTCTATCCATGGAATAATGTACCACAGGGTAGCGTTGGACATGTGTGGGCAGTTTACTCTTGTCTCTCTCCTTGAAATAATCAAAAAGTTACTTGACAAATACACAAAAGCAATCACTTCTTTATATTGTCTATCTATTCGTATCTGTATTTATGCGCAGATATACGTATCAATTCTCAATGAGTGTATGTGTATATAGAACTGATGTAAATTATTTTTCTGCTTGTTTTATTAATAGTCTAGTCTGGCAGCGCAGCAACGAATTTTCAAGTCATGGATCATACCCTAGCCAAAATATGTTGAAAAGCAGGCAGCAATGGGCTATTAAAAATCAAATGGGCTACATTTCTTTTTTTTGAAAATTTATCATTATCACAAAAGCCAATTTTATCGAAGACAAGTTCAGTACTTTCAACTATTAGGAGGCCGACTCTTTAGCCTTTTTCGACTGTTTCACAAATGTCTTCTTCAACGTTCAACTATTTGAATATATTACGTCCAAAAGTACAAATAGAATCGATAGTAGATCAAAGTGGAATGATGAGTATCTTAGCAAAAAATAGTCACTTGGCCTTTCTGGAACACTTGATTAGATCACAACAAGATATAATGTATTAAGATAACACCACTTTGATCTTTGTACAAGTATGTATATCAAGATTTTTCAACATTGGATGATAGATTTATTTAAAACTAACATGAGCAATTGCTTTTGGATTTGTGATGAATTATCCAATGACTATATCCCAGGCTACTCCATCAGTCTCATCATATACTTGTTTTATGGGTCACGATAATGATACTAATAAAGAAACTAGTAAAAAAAACATCAGTGTACACTGGTGCTATTGTTAGCAATGATTGAACTAAAGAGGCAAACATACAATATTATTTTAATGTGCATACAAACAGAAATATTATTAAGAAAGCTTCGAAAGATTATTTTTAGAACAAGGTAAGTGCTTTTATGAATCAAAGAAACGCAAAAATCTGATGTCGTATTCGTTAGACATGATGTTCGTCGTTCTTCGAAGTTTTATTGTAAGTCATGCACATAAGGTAGACTACGTCACAATGATGATGGATATGCATGACAATCATTATAGTCACTTTTATGAAGGAGGAAAAGTAGATCGCTTATAGATATCTATAAATACGAAGTGTACAAACGATAAAATTATTCTACTT